ATGATATTAGGAAGTGAGGACTTTGAGAAGGGATTAGGTCATGACAGCAGAGCCCTCATTAATGGGATTAGTGTCCTTATAGAAGAGGCTCTGGAGAGATCTCTTACCCTTTAAGCCAGAGGAGGACACAGTGAAAAGATAGCTGTCTAGAATGTGGGTCCTCACCAGTCACCACATCTGCTGACACCATGATCTTGGACTTCTCAGACTCCAGAACTGTGAGAAAGAAGTGTCTGTTGTTTGTGAGGCACTTAGTCTCTGATACCGTGTTATGGCAGCTTGAAGGGACTAACACGAATGACAATTTAAAAATAACTACTGATAGGGATGCCTGTGTGGCTCAATTGGTTGAGCGTATGACTCTTGATTTTAGCTCAGGTCATGAGATCGAGCTCTGCGTCAGGCTCTGCCTTGAGCATGGAGCCTGGTCAAGATTCTCTCTTTCCCTCTATCCACTACCCCACCCCGCTCTTGGGAACACACTCTCTCTCTCAAAAGAAGGAGAAGGAAGAGGAGAAGGAGGAGGAGGTGGAGGTGGTGGCCAAAAAGAAAAATAACTACTGGCAATCATCAGATAAAGAAAATTTCCAGAACAGTCATAGAACTATAAATCTAAGGCATTTGGAGCTAGTTAGGGTAGCAACAAATACCAATAGCTTCAGATGGCAGCTTTGTATATGACAGAGACAACAACTGATGTTTATATGAATGCTATGAAGTAAGGAAAAAGGAGAAATTATGGTTGATATGTACTCTTTTAAAAGACATGAAAATACGGAATATGTTTTGAGTGCCCACTTAAACATGATATCTTAAAATATCACGATAAAAGCCAAGTGTGGTGCTTAAGAGGTTGAGCTGTAGTCTTTAGAAAAATTCAGTACAAATTTTTCTGACAAGGGAAATTTCTTCTTGTGAGATTTAGATTAATTGTTTATTTATAGGGGTGTCAGGAGAACCTTGTTTCCTCACAATATCGGATAGGTGACGCCTAAGTGGAATTATTTGGCAAGACTGGATGGCCAACCTTATACTTGTTTTTGTATGTGTAGGACAAGATGGAAAAGGACTTCCAGTCTAGGAAGGGAGGCTGAAGGAACACATAGGACATTGTTATAGATTACATATAACATATGGAATTACATATAAAATACAGAACTACACATAGTAAATAGAACTACATATAACAAGTAAATAAGACTACATAGAATTAAAAACCAGGAGAGGAACAAAAGGAACGATGCATTTTATCTGGAGAATCTGAGGGTAACTTCCTAAGAAGTGGGATTAGAGGATAAATCCAATTTGGATAAAAGGAGAGAGGGCAAGAAAGCTTCCCAGGAAGGTAGGGGAAGCCACAGAAAAGACTGGCTGCAGAGTAAAGTGTGGGCTAGATGGGATTCTTGAAGAGCTATGGAAAATAAGGTCAGATATTATAAACTGAAATCAGGAAGGCGTAATGGACTATTCTCCTAGTGTACTACCTTCTTTATTCACAGTATCATTTACCTTGAAGACAGAATATAGTTATTGCTTGCTCTAGAGGCATTTTTAATCTTTAATGATAGAATTCATTACTTTAAAATAGAGAAAGGGACTATAAAGGAAAGGAGGGAAACCAACTGGGGAAAAATTAGAGAGGGAGACAAACCATGAGAGATTCCTAACTCTGGGAAACAAAGATTTGCAGAAGGGGAGGTGGGTGGAGAAATGGGGTAACTGGGTAACCGGCACTAAGGAGGGCACTTGATGGGATGAGCAATGGGGATTATACTATATGTTGACAAATTGAATTTATTTATCTTAAGATTTTTTATTTATTTATTCATGAAAGACACACACACAGAGAGAGAGAGAGGCAGAGACACAGGCAGAGGGAGAAGCAGACTTCCTGCAGGGAGCCCAATGTGAGACTCGATCCCGGGACCCCAGGATCATGCCCTGGGCTGAAGGCAGGTGCTAAACCGCTGAGCCACCCAGGCGTCCCTGCAAATTGAATTTAAATAAAATATTTTTTAAAAAAAGAACTCATAACTTAAAACAAAACAAAAAAGTAAAGTAAAAAGTCAGCATGGTGACTTAACACTCATCTCTAGAGTCTTCATTTTATTCTGATATCTAATTTGAAATGTAAGATGTTCTTAGTTACTAGTATCTTAGAGTCTGCTACTTTCTTTCCTTTTATTCACACACTACTTCATCTTAACATCTTTTACCATGGAACTAGAATGGTTAGAACACCTCAGCATTTTAGGTTCTGATGCCTTCCACCAACTTCTCTGTAGGCCCTTATGGGGAAGTAACCATCTGAGTAAAGCCCAGGCCTTAAACAAAATCACTAGCATCTGAATCCTGTTTCTGCTACATATTAGCTGTATGACCTTGGGTAAATTACTTAAATTCTTTGGTTCTGTTTCTTCCTTGTAAATTAAAAATGAGGATAGCAATAGTATTTACCTCAAAGAGTTATTGTGAGTATTAAATAAAATGATGCTGGTAAAGCACTTAAAGTAGCACCAGGCACATGGTAAGTGTTGTATAAGTGTTAGCTATTAGTATTATCTCTAATGGGGAGAAAAAATGCACACCAATATTTAGTGTAACCATACTGCCCATATAAACAGATATAAATTTTTTTATTATTTCAAATTTAAGTTGCATTTTAAGTGATTCTTGAAATAAAAACTCAGCTTGAAAATGACCTCAAACATCTTCTAACATAATTTCTCTTCTAGTGCCATAGCACAAAGCCTGGCATAAAGCAGATGTACAATGTATTTGATAAATATGTACTATGTAAATGAGTGACTCTGTGAAATGCTAAACAGAAAAGACAAATGGGTATTTATTATACTAAGTAGACATATTCTGGGTGCTTTGGGAACACAGAAAAGGTAAGCCTAAACCTATTGTGGATAGAAGTAAATATACAAAATCTACCTAGAGGCCACAAAACTCAGCTGAGTCTGAACGATGCACAAGAGTTGAGCTGGTGAAGGAGAAACTTAAAGGATCTAGATAGTTCTTTTATGATACTATTTCTTGTCAAAGTATTCAAAATAGAGCAGTTAGTAAATGAGAATGATTTTATTGCTATTTATACTATAATGTGCACTGGAATTTTACTTGATCACGTAGTGTTCTAACAGGTATGAAATCATTCCAAACAGGTAGAGATTCCTACTAATTCAGGCTGAAAATGTCTATCTTCAAGCCTATTGAAGAGTCTAGTTGAAAGAAAAATAATAGTTATCTTTTACCGAGTAGCTATCATGTACTGGCCTCAAAACACACTCCTATAAAGAAATAATTCATCTAAACCTCACAAGAAGAAATTTCCTTTACTGCCAAGTTGATAAACTAAGTAGCAGAGCCAGGGTTTGAACTTGAGGCTGCCAAGTGCATGCTCTAAACCTCTAAGTGAAGTTCTGGATTGATTACTCACTAGAAATACTGTCTTGTTTTTCTTTTGTATAATTTGAGGAAATACTCAAAAAATTACTTCATTAATGATATTGATTCAGGCTTCAGGCTGGGATCTTTGTAAACTGTTATACAAAATGTAATTTATAAGTTTGCCTTTGACACGACAAGGATGAGTGCATCACAAAATGTCTTGCCGGTCAGCACTGTTCTCCAGCTGAAAGTGCTTTCACATCCACATCTTCATTTGCTTTTTCCCCTAGTGGGTATAGAAAACCATTTGAATAATGCATGTTACTTTCCATATTCTTTCAACAGAACATTGCATACTTAAATCATTAAGATGGATTCCTGGTATGGACTCAGAATTTAAACAAAAGAGAAAAAAACCTCATTTGTAAATACCTGGAATAATATTTCAGTACCTAAATGTATTCTATAAATCCAAAAACACATTAAAAATCTAGTATTCTTCAAACCAAATCTTTCAAATAAGAGACTAGAGCACTCAAATTCGTTCTCCCATTAGACAGCTTCATTTTCAGGCTTCCCTTCACAAAAGGAGCTGGATGCAGGAAGGCCATCTAGGCATGCTGTTGCCTCCCCTTGGATACTAACAGATGTGAGGTCAGGCTACTGTCTCCCTCTACCTTCCCCACAGCCAGTATGACCATCTTCCTCTATCATTCTGGAGAAAACCCCTTCTATGCTTTTTTTTTTCCACGTCCTTTTCTGTACATATATCCCCTCTATTGACAATAAAGCACAATGTGAGGTTTCACTAATGTTTTCTAGTCACTTCTGTTTTCTTCCAAATCAGAGGATATAGCTGGCTCCACCAGGAAATGAAACAGAGGTCATTATTGCAGCAGTGACTTTCAAGCTGTTTGCTAAATTTAGCTGTCCAATACTTTCCACTCTAATGATAACTGTGAACTACAATTATAGAATGCTGGAACAGAACAGGAGCTTAAAGGTCACCGAGTCCAATCCCATCGTTTTTCTAATGGAGGTACGGGGCCTAGATGTAGGCTGTGATTTGCTTGTGAATGGTAGAAGTGGAACTTGAATTAAAATCTGCTCAGTCTAGGGCAGTGGTATCCTTACTATGCCACAGATATTCTGCTTCCCATGGTCAGTCTTACCTAACCAGATCTCATAGCATAAATATAGCTGATATTATTGGTTGTGGCTTACCTTCTGTGGCCATTCATCAATTTGGTGGCTGAATGCAAAATGGCACAGGTGTCTGACTTATAAGTTACTACAAGAGAAATGAAATGATTTCATACCCAAACCCTGCCCCCAATTCTAAAAACTTCCTGCTTTATGTTCATCAATAATGAATGGCCCATCCCTGCAATACTCAGAGGGAGCTTACATTGCACTTTTGAGCAGCCGGTTAGTAATGTACAGTGGATAGAGCCTTTCTTTCAAATCCCAGGGCAGCGGGTCTTTCAAGGCTAGCATTGCATTTTCAATTAGCTGCTGAGTGAATGCTTGGCATGTGTATTAGTGAAGAAGCACACAATTAGCTTTTGTTCCTTTCTGTATTGTGCTGAGAGGTTCTAAGAGATTGGTGGGGGAACAGGCAAGCCAGGCATCACTGTGGAGTTGAAGAAGGGATTTACCCAGACCTCGGAATCTTCACTTGCTCGCTCTGGAATTACAGCTATTTATTACGAAGTGTCCTGTGTGGCTGGGCGGAGTGTGCCTGAGGATACACATCCCAGACACCACCTGGGGTTAGTCTTTCTGAGCGCTTCCCGTCTCTAATTCTCGTCATTATCATGGAGCCCAACAGTCCTAAAAAGATACAATTTGCTGTGCCTTTATTCCAGAGTCAGATTGCACCTGAAGCAGCAGAGCAGGTAAGTGGACTTGGGTGGGGACCAGGTCCTGTATATAAGGTAACATATAAGGTCCTGTATATAAGCTTTCATTGAAAGCTTCTCTACCTCTTGAATTTGTTAAACTTTGTGACTTTCCAGGATATGTGAATGAGAAATAAGCTGGTTTCCATATGGCAATTGTATTTGAGTTGCACTGGGGGACCTACTGGCTAAAATGCAGCCCTTCATGTGATAAAATATTAGCACTCATTACAGGAAAAAATGGCTATATTAGAGATTCAGATTTGGATCTGGAAATGTCTGCTTTTGCATACTAAATTAACAAGTTCAACATTTAGAGAAACAAACAATTATCAGAATTAGCAACCTTTTATTTCATTATTTATAAAATAGATTCATTTAACAATGAAAGCATTAAACCTTGGAATAATTTCAGATTATTGGGTTAATATTTTTAATGTTTTTCATCATATATTCAAAGCAGTAATTATAAGTGTAGCTAATAATATGACAGATAGGATTTGTAGATGGTATGTATAATTTTAAAGACATTTTTTCAGATATTAAAATAGTATTAAATACTTCTTGGATTCCTTTTCTATGTCTAATATGTCTATATAACTATATTTCTGTACTTTTGTCTCTGTCTCTTTTTCATCTAAGATTGGTTTACATCTGTATCACCTTTCATATTCAGATTTACTTAGAGTCTTGATGCAATAGAACCACTTAAAGACCATTTGTGGTAAAATACAACAGTTGGGAGGCAAAAGCAGAAAAAAATTTATGGGATCTTCAATCTAACTCATTAATTTTTGCAACCTAAATTATCCTTGAACACTTTTCCAAATATTTTATACAACATCTTAAGAATAATTACTGAAACTAAGACTCATACCTTTCTAGGATGTTTTGATAATCTGAAACAGATCCTCCCAGACTCAGTCCAGATAAACATAACCTTGAACATGTTATCTGTATTGAATGGGACATTGGTTCTGTCCTAGACAAAATGTCATTGGCAAATTTTATCCTCTATCCTACTGACTTATATTTTAAGAACTTACCTATATGTTTAGGAAATAAAGAACACTTTAGAAAGTCTAATCATAATATGCTCCTGTAACTCTTAAAGTAAGGAAAGAATCCACATCAAACCTATTAGTTTTAAATGAATTACTCTCATAAAATCCATACTCATTCCTTCTTTGTCCTAAATATCTTATTAGAAAATAAGAAAACCTTATAATATTAATAAAAATGAAGAACTCTTGTTATTAAATTTAACCTGCTAGAAATTTAAGTTTTCTAAGCTTCTCTTAACCTATTTAGAAAAAGGATAATGGATCTTGAAAGCCATCATTATGGGACTCCAAGAGGGCCATTAAAATTAGCAAGTCATCCTTGTACCTACACTGCATATTATTTCAGTGGCATCATTTGATTATATACAACTATTTCTTTTCTGTGGAATGGTAGCTTTTTTTGGTCCTAGAAGGCGATACTAATATCTAAAAGTTCTACTCCCTGGCTTTCTGTAATTCAAAATAGTGAACACCTACTGTGCGCTCTCCAGAAATTTGCCTGTTTTTTTTTTTTTTTAATGTTGGGAAAAGATGAGGATGGAACAGCTTTCCAAGCTGTAGAGTAACTGGGGGGAATGTCTGACTCTCACTGACCTTAGCTGGGGCTTTGTTGTTCACAGATAAGAAAAAGAAGACCTACACCAGCATCACTTGTGATTCTCAATGAACATAATCCCCCAGGTAAAGAAGCATGATGTCTTTGCACTGATGGAACAGAATAGAATTGTTTGAAGAGCATCAAAGAGTATGTCATTGTCAAAAGATTTAAATTTAGGATTTCAGTCAGTCATAATTTAACAAGCTAGTCTATAAAAATGCATCATAAACAAAGTCAGAAATAAATATAGAAACGGTCTCAGTCAACAGCCTGCTTTCCTCTAGAATGGAATGACACACTAGTGATGATATAATAAAATGGTTTGTTGTTTGTATAGAGTCTGGTTCAGTGCTTATTAATGAGGCTAGTGGAAAGTTGTTTAATTAGGTTCCGAAGCTCAAATTACAGTCTAAGAGATGCTTGTATATTTACAGAGTAGGTTTTTTATTTATGAAAGCTTGTCATGGAGCAATGAGCTAGCACTGGCTACAGCTCTGTTGCTGATGTCATGTCTGAATAATGCAATTGACAAGTAACCAGATCAATTTTCAGCAGTGCCCATTTGAGAGTCCATTCTGAAGGGTTGTATCCATTTGTTGAGGTTTTACTTTCCCTTTCCTGTAAAAAGTAAAGCTGCCTTATTCCTGATAAATGACTGTGATCTGCAATACACAAACGTTATTTACTTATTGAATGGAGGTGATTTTAATCTCACATTTAAGTGCTGTTTCTAGAAATACAAGTAAGACAGCAAAGGTCATGACATTAATTTGGGCACAGGCAGGACTCGGTGTTGGGTTTTTTATAGGTCTAAACAATATGGGTGGACAAAAGGAGTTTGAATAATAGAAACATAGTAAGTCTAAATACAGGCTGTAGTGAATGGTTTGTTTAAGAATTTCAAGGCAAAGTAGTCTGATTTTTTTTCAGGTTCCTGCAGCAAAAAAAATCAAACACTTACATAGCTTCCCTAGTAAAAATGATCTAGAACCATGATGACTGGAGAAATAAACCTAAGGACCAAAAAAAAAAAAAAAAAAAACCAGCAACAAAAAGAATACCACCACACTGAACCAAACCAAACCTAGATACTAATCTTCCCTATCCATGTGGTTTGGGTTGGGTAAGGGACAACATCTTCAAGTTTTATTTTATCTACAATATAGAGAAAATGTCCATCCTTCCTACTTTACAGAGTTCTTGCAATGATTCAAAGAATTAATGTGAATACTCCTTAAAAACTGTAAAGTGCAACAAATCTTAGATGTCATTAGCTGATGTATTCTGGAATACAATCTTTGCATGGTATTTAGCAGATAACAGGATTGTCATAATCTCACCTGTACTAAATATTTCTGCCAGACCCCAAAATTCTACATGTTCCAACTATTCTCTAACATTTGTACTAAACAAAACAAAATAACAGCAACAACAAAAACCTCAAGTGTTAAATTGCTTTTTTAAACAATTGTTTCTTCTAGCCACAAAAAGCTGCATCTTTTTTAACAAAAATTGCATTCAGCTCTAAACCCTGGTAAACTAAATAAAACTCTTCAATTTTACTGAATCTCCCCAGGAAGTAACTGCCTGTTCTTGGAATCACCCATCATTAATGCTGTTTAAAATTCAAATCTCTGAAAAAAATTTTACTTTGAATTAATGTAGCAAAGAATATTAAATTTTCCGTTATACAGACACAATTAACAAACCCTCCCAATTCATATAATGAGACAGATATCTTATAATCACTGTTAAATGAATTAAACATAGTTTCTTTTTTTTTTAACCTTTCCTGGAGTTTGCAAGAATAGTCAGTTATAAAGTATCTGAAAGAAAAATTTGCTTTTAGATTCAGAAAAACATATGCATTGTTTATATCTGATAGAGAGGAAGCAGAATAGAAAGATATTTTAACATGTACATCCAGATTGTTTGCTAGTTTGTCTGTGCTGGTCTAAACACATAGATGAGGCAGGCATTTGATTGGTAGGACTTCAGGGGCAGCAAAATGTGCCCTCAGTCCCTTTCTATCCAATGGCCCAGAATTCTCAGCAGTAGAAACACTATGGAAACAGACACATAGGGATCCCTGGGTGGCGCAGCGGTTTGGCGCCTGCCTTTGGCCCAGGGCGCGATCCTGGAGACCCAGGATCGAATCCCACGTCGGGCTCCTGGTGCATGGAGCCTGCTTCTCCCTCTGCCTGTGTCTCTGCCTCTCTCTCTCTCTGTGACTATCATAAATAATAAATAAAAATTAAAAAAAAAGAAACAAACACATAACCTGGATACCTCACCCTTGGGCATAGGGCAACAAACACAATTTAACTCAAAACAATGGGAAGCAGAACTAAAAATTTTGAATCGAAGTCCTCATGCCTTAAAAAATTTGATAGCAAAGAGTGTGTCTTTATGGTAGAGAGGGCAGAAACTAGGTTTGCTTCTAGGAATGACTCTGAAGTGCCAGAAGGCAGTAAAAAGATACATGAAACCTGACCATGTAAAGGTAGAAAAGCACAAAAGACAAATTTCAACTTTTTCAAACATTTTCTGGGGCTAGCGGTGTGAGTGACCTTGTAGCAAACTGCTTATTTTTCTGTATTTTCAGTTCATCTTCTGACTAAGGGCCTATTTATGATGAGCTCTCTGAGGCTATACAGTAGAGCTTCACTGTCTATTCTTATATTGTGTGCTGTTCGCTTTTACTCTTATATAATCTATAGTTAACCGGCTTGGTTTGTCTATTTTTATTTAGTGTAATACATACAAATCCTATTGAGAAATAAATGGCAATGCCAACTTCTTCAATTTACTTCAAATTTCTAGATTTACTTAAACATTATTTGTCTGTAAGTAAACTTAGGAGAAGACTTTATATTTGGCTACCAGTATTAGAAATCTAGAATTGAAAAGAACTTCAGAAAATACCTAATCTAACCACATATCTTTGTAAAAGATACAAAAATCAACCCAAGTCCCTGAGACTTGCTCCATTTTGTATACCTCAAAGAAGATTCCATAATTACCCCTACTTTTCAATTCTTGATCCAATAATTTTAGATGTTAGAAAATAGTTTTATCGAACTTGAGTAATACCCCCACTTATTATAAAAAAAACTGCTTGTTTACTCTCTCCTATAAAAGTTTATTTACTCACCTCTCCAAATACAAAAAAGAGTTCTTTATTATTTTCTTTCTAAACTGAATACTCCTAGTCCCTATGAGAGCCTTCATGAACTCTATCCAAATTTTCCTTGTCCCTTGGCCTTTAGAACCAAGAGCTGGACATGGTATTTTCAAAAGAAGCCATCCTACACCTTCTGAATATGACAGTTTGTGGCATTCATTCTCTTCCACGTACTTTAAGCAGAAACAATATGGTTACGATTAAATTTAGTGAACCTGACTGATGCCTATTATGCATGAGTGAACTCTAAGAGGCCTGAAGCTTAGTGAAGGTTTGGGTAGGTACTCAGAAGAGTTTTGGCATCATTTAAAAGTTTATTGTACATCAAAAAGTGGGACCAGAAATACAAAGTAAAATAGTTTTCTGGGGCTGTTTCTTGAACTTCCTATCACAGCTGAATTTTGGGGAGAATGACTTTCTCTTCGACACTTTTGGCTTTACACATTCTTAGAAATGAGGAATAAGAACAAAGGGAGTTTCTCACATAAGTGAGGATCCTAAAAAATTAGTTAATATGAGACATACGAACTAAATACACATTGCCTTTGCTCAACCTTGAGACAGTAAGTCTAGTCAGTAAAGAGAACTGGGTTTCCAAATTGATTGGGCTGTTTGACTCCATAGACGGAAAAAGAAGCCACAGTCAATTCTGAATGTTCCATATAAGGTTCTTTTTTTTTTTTTTTAAAGATTTTATTTATTTATTCATGACAGGCAGAGAGAGAGGCAAAGACACAGGCAGAGGGAAAAGTAGGCTCCCTGCGGCAAGCCCGATGTGGGACTCGATCCCAGGACCCCGGGGTCATGCCCTGAGCTGAAGGCAGACGCTCAATCACTAAGCCACCCAGGCGTCCCATTGCATATGACTTTCTAAATGAGGCTTACATTTTCGGACCCTGATACTAAGTTAGCTAATGAGGTTTTGGAAGCTTGGATTGATAACTCTGAGACACTGAATGATAGCTGGAGAACATTGCTGGACTGAGATTGAGTGGTTCAAAACAGGGGGGCTCCAGGAATTTCCGATGATGGGAGGCTCTGCAGGGTCAACAAAGGTAAAGTGGAGATTTGTTTCCAGTGGTAGGACGGTCATCTGTACACAATCTCTTATCATGGGACACTCTATTTTATCAAATGAATGATCTGTAGTCAAAAAGCAACAGGCATCTTGAGTGCAAGCTCCAAGAATCACATTTGGAGGATTTTCCTGGAACCTCAGGACAGGGAAGACATCATGAACTCCACACCTAGAGGTGCCTGTCACCTCCAAGGACCTCCAATCAAATGCACTCAAAATGCACAAAGGACTCACAGTCCATACAGTTTTGTTTCTTTCTCAGTTTTCTTATCTTCTTTGGGAATGTGGCTGTAATTCATTCTGATCCACAGTCCTTGTTGATTATTCAGCATTTGTTTTGCCTTCTCACTATTAATGGCAATATAAAACAAAGACAAGTTCAATGTTTGAAAATACTTAGGAAATAACTGGTATTATTTCTAAGGAATTTTCAGAAAATCCTTTTTTTGGGGATGGCCTGGGTGGCTCAGCAGTTGAGTATCTACCTGCAGCTCAGGTTGTGACCCTGAGTCCCGGGATCGAGTCTCACCTCGGGCTCCCTGCATGGAGCCTGCTTCTCACTCTGCCTATGTCTCTGCCTCTCTCTCTCTCTCTCTGTCATGAATAAATATATAAAATCTTTTTAAAAAGCCATTTTTTCCTCTTCAGATTTATTTCTATGAGTTAATAAATACCAAACCATGCTGAATGATTTAAAGACAAGTGACACATGTGGCTTTCAGAGATTTCATGTACTGCACAACTGATTGAATTATTTTTCCATAAATACTCAATCTGTGCAGCCAAGTAGTCCATTCAGTCAGAATAACCATGAGCCAAAG